TCACCCGTGACACCATAGACTGTAGATCGCCAAAGCTTAAAGCTAGTAAAGCGATATCATCGGCATAGTCGAGGTCAGTCAACCGGCGCCGGGCTGCCAGCTCAATACCATCATTTCTCTGTAAGGCCTTCCCAAGACCCCAGTCAACGGCGTAGTTAAAGTGGATGGGCACAGGTCACAGCCTTGTCGAACGCCAGATCGAATATCGTAGGGTTCTGAGACGTTTTTGTGGACTTAAATCCGCGCAGTGGTGGAGCGGAAGTATGCCTTGATCATAACGATTATGTTTGCTGGTACACCAACAAATGCCATTATCCGCCATAGGGAGTCACAATGAATGGAGTCGAACGCAGCGGCACCTCTCTGTAATCCAGCCGGGGAATTCTTCTTTAATGATACGCCCACGTGCAAGTAAGATTAGTCCAGCTGCATTGTCTTTCACTCACATTTTTTGTCTATCCCTTCCGCCACTGTAGAGACCAGATGACTAGGGCTCCGGTCGTTGCCTTCCCGTCGGTCTGTGAAGTGGTTGAATGCATGGCTTGGCTGGAGTCAAAGAAGGGCTTCGCTATGCTTCGCGACGCCTTCAATGAAACCAGTTCTCACGCCGATCTACTGTCCATATTTCCGAATCCGGTAGGTTGTCTGTTGCTGTGTTTTAACGGTCTGACTTTCTCTAGGCTGCATGCTGTCATTCTACGATAAAGAGAAAAAAATAGTTTATCGGGAAACTGGTTGCATACTTGCAAGCCGCGACATTTATGCATTCGTGAAGGAGCCTGCTAGTAATGCTTAATTTAGTTTTATTTACTGATCCACTTGAAGTCTGAAAATATCGATTGTGTTGAAAGGCTTGTGAGTGTCTAGACCGATCTAATGCATTTTATTTTATGCGTCTAATGGTAATACACGTCATGGTGGATACCTCACGAGCACATTTATGAAGAAGGCGCTTTGCGATAGGAAATTATAGCTAGAGTGATTGACCATCGATTTCGATGAAGTCCACTATAGCCACCAACAGGTCTGTACAGTAGTGGTGACTTGCTACAGGAGGTAGTTTAAAGTGATAGCAAACATAGTTAGTGCCAACCGCATTCTCCACCTTCGCCATGGGTCAAGAAGACCAGATTGGGTCCGAGGTTGGCTGCTTTTTCCAGTGCAAGCCAAAAACACTGCCTAACTTAGTCTTAAGTGACAGTAGACTTTGCTCGGTTACTACCGCACCATCTAATCTCACTCACCTTCAGGCGTCAAGACAGGCTCAGGGAGGCCGAGACGGATACGGCTACTGCTAT